CTCCCTCCCTCCTCCTCCTCCCTTGCAGCCCCCCCAGCCCAGGTGCCTAATTGAAAACACAGCATTTTCGGACACTTTTTTTTGGTCTGGAGGAGGCGGCTGCGCTGGAGCGGGCTGACCACGGGCACCTCCCCGCGAGAGCATCTTTATTGACTGGTCAGCGAGGCGAGCGTCAGGGTTTGGGGGTGGAGGTGAAGATGCGCAGTCCGTGCATGCTCTTGATCTCCTCGCTCAGCGCCTGCAACGGACAAGCGCCGGCACCGTGACTGCGCGCAGACGCGCTGTTAAGTCGCGCGCGCAGCGACGCTGCTGGTTATTGGGAAGGACGGGCGGGCTGCGCCATTGGGGGTGCGGGTGAGGGTGGGCAAGCATGCTGCCTGCATGGGTGCGTGTGTGTGTGCACACGCTGTAAGTGCCACAGGCAGCTGGGTTTTCCCCCAAACTTGCACGACGGCGACTGCGGGCTGCAAACTCCCTTTGCCCGGCCGAGCTCGGCACCGCCGTGCAACAGGTCGCTGCAAAAAACACGGGGGGGATTTAATTAATGCAGACGCCTCCTTCTTCCCATCCTCCTCCTCCTCCTCCTCCGGCTGGACAGGGCAGCGCGTCCGCCGGCATCCACCCGGCGATTTGCTCCCCGAGTCATTTTAGCTGTTAACATCACAGCCGCGATCTGAAATATTTCCAGCGGAGGCATGGTAACGGCGAGCATCGCTCCGGATTAACCGAGGACATCCCTCCGGCAGGCGGGTGACGGTCCTTCGGGTGACGCCGGGATGCGCCGGCCAAAAATGAGGAGAACCCCGGCCAGTCCTTTGTCCCGTCCATCGCCCTGATGCTTTTTTGGAGATGCCAGACCCGGTTTGGGGCGATTTCATGTCGGCGGAACAAAAACACCCCAACCCACCAGGGAAACCCCTCGAGATGGACAAATATAGTAACTTTTTATTAGTAATGCTTTAAATGAGATTATCCCTAATCTCCAGCGTTTGGCACCGAGACAGCCTGCCAAATTCAGTTAGGGGCTTTCATTTCCCAACGCCGGGGACGCGCTGGGGATGTGCCGGGGACACCTTGAGCTGCATCACGTCCTTGCTGCCACCCGGCAAAGGGGTTGCGGGGTCCCGGTGTAACCGTTCCTGCTGGGAATGGAGTTTCCTGTGGGGTTTATTTAAGGTTTGTCCCCCTCAAGCTGGGGGAGATGGGTCAGAGCATCCTCCCCTCCACCGGCCCCGATCTTTGCCGGGCGGTTTGGGCGGCTCTTGTTAGAAACCGATGGCTCCCCGGCGCTGAGCGAGGCTTTGCCGTATATTTTGCCGCGGCGGTAATGAGCGGGTTCCCAAGATGTTGATTAGTTATGCAAATGGCAAAGGCATCGAGAGCTGCCCGGGGATGGCAGGAGAGGGCCCGGCGGCGCCACAGGACGGGGAGCGGAGCGAAACCTCGACCTCTGGCGTCTTCCCTCCTCCTCCTCTCCCAAAATCCTCGTGGCCGGGGACGCGTCGCCCGGTGTGGAAATCAAACCCCAAGGGAGATGGCAAGAGCGCAGCTCCAGCAGCAGAGGTGTGAGGGGAGACGCCAGCTTTCCCGGGCCCGGCCGAGCCGGAGGAACGGGCAGAACCGGTGCTGGGGAAAGGTGCTGGCTCCCCGGCTCGCTTCGGCTGCCAAACCACCCCGCGAAAGGCGC